GCTCCCCGCAGAGGTGTAGTAACCTGTACAATCTGTCGAATATCTCTGGGACAGCAGGACGGTGTTCAGCTGAAACTCTCCAAAACAATGAGCACCAAATTTCTGGAATGAAAACAGCAAATAATTAAGTAAAAAAAATCAATTTTTGCTTATTTTGCATTATAGTTAATTCAAGTTCCCAATAACAAAGCAGTCTTACCACTCAATGGTTCAGAAAAGTCAGCAATGTGTTTAAAAAGTCAAGAAAGGATGATAAGCTGTCACTCAGAAACATGGTGTTACCATGGTTACAGGCGACTGAGCATTTGGTAGGCACCCTCGTGTCATTTTCACAGAAAAGAAAATCAAGGATTTTGTTATTCAAACAAAGACTTCAGGAAGGAGGGTGGATTTTTTTTTAATCTGCAGTGTCACATTTAAGGTGTCACTCACAATGAAACTGCATCTGGAAGATTTTACAGTCAGGCAGTCTTTCTTTCAATCAAAACTCTCCTCTTTGAGCTATACAGACTTATTCTTATTCCCCTAAATAACGTGTTTAATCAATACACTCTTCAGCAGGGTGCTCTTAATCTTTTTTTACCAACTCATAGATTTTTAGCGCCCTATATATTCACATTTCTGGTTGTAAGCAAACACTGATAAAATATTCAGGACTGTGACTTTTATTATCAGTGTAAATAAGTCCTAAATGACCGGGATCTAACTGCCTTATTATTACTCCAATTAGGCATCAATAAGGTGAACACTTGCCTTAGAAATGTTGCTAGAACTGTCTACAGTGTTTGTGCAGTAGGTATTTGATCGGTTCTTCCCACATATAATACGCAATTGCTATGTAATACACTGTAATGATCCCTGTCAAACACCACAGGACACGAAAATAGTTATTTTTCACAATAGATATGTCATTTTGACATGAAACCGTAGGAAAAGAACAGGTGTGAATAATAAAATGAATGACGACTGAATTGAATATAGCTGCTTCACTGTCATGGCTTACTGGGAGACTTGGATAGAAGAAGAGCCATTGATAATGTTATTAGTAACACATGTGCTCTTCCTGCTGCGACAAGTCAAAATGTCTGCTGCAAAAAAGGGCCAATGTAGATGTTTCGATTCGTGATTTAAAACTGAGGCGACCATAACTGGCTACTAAGGAGATCAGGTGGGTTAACAAATAATTACATATTGCAGCTGGTCTTGGAACATAATCACTTAGTACCAGCCTGAAATCATAACACTTTGCGACTGTCGGTAAGAATGAGTCAGCCCCTAAATTAACCTGATTATCCTCTGTTCATGCTAAAGTGGTATCAGAGCGTCCCCCCCCCCCAAAAGACCCAAATCTCTCTATTTTAAGACCTATTAATTGGCAAGCTCTCATATCCCAATGGGACTCCAAAGGCAGTGGAAATGTCAACCACAGTTGAAAACCCTACACGCAGTTGTATGGTGCAATGTCGCTGCAGGTGCCTAAACAGAGCATAATGTTCTGTCTGGCTTCCTTTGTTAATTGCAATTTCCTCGCCCATTATGACAACAATGTACCACTTTCTACAGTGCAGTATTGTTTGAACAATGATTCAGAGGGTGTAGTAACACAGTCTGTTCCAACACTGCTTTTATACAGAGGCTGTGTAAGCAATTAACAAATGTTGGGACACATGTAGGAATTGTTTGCATCAGCTTTCAAGGTTAAATTTACCTCCATTGCTGCAGAACAGCTGTAAGTTGTCAACCCCTTTTTTTATAACATTGGAATGAATTTACATTGTTTTTTAGTTTTTGAAAACCTAAACTTGTTTTTACCTTTGGCATTGTACCATTTCAGGTTATTCACTGGACTTAAACTGTTTGAATTTCACTAAAAACTGTTTTTTCATCTGGCCTATAGCTAAAAACTATTTCAAAATCCTCATGTGTAATTGTCAGTGGGTGTTAACAGCAGTCAAGTCATGAGTGCAAATTTGGGTGTTTGTAATTCAGCAGTATTTGAAAGGGCAAGCAGGAGTAAATTTCCTCTAACCTTTAAAATGTTTCTGGCATCAAATGCCTCTCTTTCACTCGTGGTTTGTCTTCCTGGGCCACCCGTGTCTTCAACTGGAAAAACACAAGAGTGTAAAAGACAAGCTAAACAATACAGACAGAACAAAAACATACAGATCTCCTGATCAAATAACCATGTTTACTTTCTGCTACAGTGGGCAATAGAAAGGTGACAATCAAGGTCATTTAATTTGTGAAACAGGGACTACTGTGAAGAAAATACACTGAATTTTAATAGGATTCGTCTACATGCTGGCAAACATTGTGAGCATTGACACAGCCCCTCGCTTGTGCTGTGTTGTTGGTCAGCTCAGTACAAATTTGAGAACTGGGGCTGGACCTTATCCATGGCCAAAATGAATGAAGCCATTGTCAGAGTACTTGGAAAACACGCTGCTTGGTGCACGTAAACAGCGCTGTGGCCAAAAAGAGAACAAGCTGCCTGATGCCTATATTCAGAAACTTGTTGTTGTAATTGTTCAAGTTTCAGCTTTGTCGTCACTGCTGCTCACATCTAAGCCAAGAGATAATAAGGGGACATTGGCAAACAGGAGCTACCAGTGTGATCACAGCAGGTCAATAACTTTGTTTTTACACAAGCTACAGGCCCAGTGCTGGTTAGCCTGTCGTGTGTGTAATGTCTTTACCCGTGGAGTCCTTTCTGAACAGAGTGTTCATCACAGTGCCGTGCAGCTTCACTCTGTCCCACTCTCGCACCATCAGCCCCACTGAGACAAAGTGCTCTACCAGCCGGTCTGCAATCACCTGCAACCTTAAGAGCAGCAATATTAAATATATGTTGTGGAAAAAAACTGATTCCAGCGGAATACAAAATGTGTCCACTTTGGACTCAAAGGATTTGTTATAGATCCACTCACTTGTCAGATCTGTCTTTCACATTGACTTTGGCATACAAGACGTCCACCATGGCTGGGTCATCATTCATGTACTCTATACCAGTCACCTCCAGTGGCAGAGGTTTTCCTTCTGTGATGTCTCTGATGACAGATGGCAAAAAAAAGCAGACTGCAGTGACTCACCTAATATATCAGGGTTATAATATATTTAAGGTTGCCTCCAGATTTTAATTTTATGTTTTCAGGCATCAAATCTCATCAGACCTTTAAAATGTACAATAACATAAGCCTATTAGTTATTAAAGAAAAAGGCTGGTGTTTTGTATTTTTACAAAAAAAAAATTTGTCACTGCCAAAACAAACAAACAATGTTACAGGTCACAAATATATATATATATATTTACAGCAGGACAGAGTAGACTGGATTGACTAACAAATGTGCAACAGTGCATCAGTGTGGCTTATTGATGTGTGTGTTTATGGCACAGAGCAATAAGTTATATCAGGCTTTGGCTACACCGACAATACTTGTTAGCCGGATCAATACATTGTTGGATTTCATGAGCTTTGCTAATGCTAAGATAGAATATCATCAGATTTCTCCTTTAAAAGGACCAATGTGTGGGATTTAATGGCAGTTAGTGGTGAATACTACTAAATGTTACACACTGGACCTTTAAAGCAATGATTTTAGTTTTGTGTCCATAAGTGTTTTTAATTACACAGCTAGAATTTTAGTATGACATAATAAACTTGTTTGGCCCGTACCTGATGAAGTTTTGACACTCTTGGAGGTGTTCACATGCTTTTCTCACTTCCACGTCATTCAACAGAGCCATGGTGCCGACGGTCAGGTGAAGCTTTACAGGATTCTGAAAGATACTTCCCTCTACTCCATGATCCTACACATCAGATAACAACAATGTGTGAAAGAAGAACGTATCAAGGACATAATGTGCTGATCCTAAACAATACATGTCCACCACTGCCCCTCATTAACACCGTTCACATTTATCTTTCCGTCTACAGTACCTGCGAACACTGCTGCAACACCTCGTCTTTAAATCTCAGGAATCCCTCTTGAATTTTGGGATCATTCAGAGGTAATGACAGGAAGTGCGTGAAAGGCTGCTTTTTCCGGAAACTCTCAACCAGGACCTCAACTCGTGTGACTGCAGATGAGACAGCAGCTTTTTGGGAACCTGTGATAACTGTCCGGGAAAAGGAAGAAAGTTGAGAGGTAATCTTGTGTTTCAGAAAGTGCTCTCTAATCTGGTTCATGACTCTCTTGATCCTCACCAATCTGTCCTTCCACTCCTTGTTTTGGGATGCTGATAGATGTCTTTGTGTCAAACTCCAGTCGCCTGCGTGTCTCTCCTTTTTTCCCAATGATGTATCTGTGGGACAAACAAGCAAACAAAGAAACACAATATGCTGATTAGAAACAAAACATCTTACTACTACTTCTACCAATAAGACAGATAACTCACTTGTAAAGAACACTTGGGACATCTATGGCACAGCGGTATCCTTTATCAGTGTGTTCAATGAAGTGGGTATCACAGGTTTCATCTTCTGCAAGGTCTTCACTCTCTAAACATGTTAAACCACAAATATTACTAGTTTGTTTTTAACAACAAACAACAAAAAACAACTAGGCTGCAGTTAGCTGTTAACACTGACAGGACTTACCTGGTGGTCCCATGTAAGAGAAATCTTCTTCTTCCTCATAATGTTCCTCCTTAATGATATTCCTTCGATATATCCTTCCATGTATATTGATCAGAGATGGACGTAAAACATCCATAATGTAAACTAGCTAACGTTAGCAAGACCTAAGTTAACCTAACAGCATAAATAAATATCTAACTAGCTCGCTCGCAACTTAGCGACACGAAAATGGGTTAAATCAGCTTATGTTTCTAGCTTTTTAAACACTTACTTGACTAACTAAGTAGCTAGTCGCTCATACTATGTATTATTTGACGTTCATGTATCGGGTTCCCTGCTTTACGACGATGCTTTAATGTTTAGTAGATCTACAAGCGACCACTCCGTTAGAGCTGATGGAGCCGATCCATCCACATGAGTTTCAGATCTGCGGTAAGAACGTCATCGCGTCAAACGTAAAATGCCGTCTTTGTCGTAAACTGGTGTTAAAACATCTAAACAAACAACAGAGCTAATAACTGCGCGGGTTTAAAGTCTTTACAGATTCACTGGGACATCGACGGTAGGTTATATTGTTAGAAAATGGTTGGTTATTGCCATGTCGTGTGTGGTAACATTAATGGTGAACGGTGGTTAGAAGGATAGTTAGCTTTCTCGCTTAGCCACCTATGGCTAGGTAGCTGTAGCACTCGAGCTATCAGAGTTTACCAGAGCGAGAAAAACAAAAACAACTACTAACATCAGCTTTGGTTGGCTGTTTTGGCTTTGGTTAACTTTAATTTAAATGACTGAAACAGTGGCCTTCAAAACTGTAACTGTTACGTATGTTTCCCACATTACAGCGGTGACAGTTCTTGTGATTCCTTTGTGTGTGTTTGTTTTGTAAAGTTTCCTAAGGTAATGGCTGCGTCTTCTTCGTCCTCCTCTGCCGGAGGTGTGAGCGGCAGCTCGGTGACTGGCTCTGGATTCAGTGCTTCAGAGCTCATCCCTCCCAGGAAAGTCTTGTACACATATCCTAAAGGCGCAGGGGAAATGATGGAAGGTAAGATCAAACACGCAGTTAAAGGCGTCTATCTTTAGCTGCCTCTTTCCTCCCAACAAAGCAGAGGAGGTATAAATCATACCATGAGATTACAACACGCGTCTGTTTTCTTTTAGATCGTTTACAGTGAGAGAGGAGTCAAATAAGAGCTGAGCATCTGTTTTTCTGATTGATGAAGTCTTGCAGATGTTTTTGAAGACATTCCCAGATTCCTCAGACAGAGGAACCAAAATAAAACGACAATTAATAACTAGAAAGAATACTGGCAATACAATAAAGATCTTTTAACCAGTTTCCCAAGTTGTTTAAGCCAACAGAGGTGGCAGCCAGATGTGACATCTCCTTGCTTCACTTGTACAGTGCATTACCTAAATTAAAAGCTTTGTTATCTGGTTAGTTTACCTGTGTTGATCAGACTTTCTGTCTTCATAAGTTACAATGCATTAATGTTTTTACGTCTGGATGACATCTTTGTTTGGATTAAGAAACAGCCACAGCTAGTTAAAAAATAGTCAAAATCTTTGTTATTGTGCAGCAGAGAGAATGTTTTGATGAAGCTGGAAATGTCTTCAAAACAGACGTGTGTTTGCCAGGTTTTATAACTCTCGGCTTATATTTATCCGTAAGAAAGACAGACGCTTGGTTAAACAGTGCAACCTTTTCATGTAAAAACAATGAGTACAGCCTGTGTCTATAATAAAGTCATATCACAAAGGTTGTGTCTTATTTCTTTTAACTGAATTCTTATATAGCACCCCGAGATATTAATGATAAACGTGTCTGTCGTGTTTCTGCTTTAGCACTTCATTACGTATCCACATAGGATTTATGTATGGGACCAAAAGGCCGTCTGGTTCTGTACTCTGCTGCATTGTTGCCTGTCTACCTCAAAATACACTACTCAATGTGGTTAATATGAGTTTTGTATAAAAGTACTGTAGGATTAAAAACAGCTAATAAAGCGAGGAATTGAACTGCAGTGATGCTGAAGGTCTCTTCCTCTTCTGAAGGCTCTTTTTACACAATGTTGAAAATTGCGTAATGGGTAGCCTGAAGTTTGACATTTTCTATTAGCTTAGTGAACACCAAGGCTTCAATTATGTCTATTAAATAAATCTTCACCAGCATTTAACTTCTTCTCTACATGTGTGTGTGTGTGTGTTTTTGTTTGTTTTAGATGGCTCCGACAGATTTTTATGTGAGTCTGTATTCAGCTACCAAGTTGCCTCCACGCTCAAACAGGTTAAACACGGTAAGTAAGAAACAGTATATGCGCTCTTTTTTTGGTCCGTCCATGACAAGCTGTTACCTTAACAATTGTGTATTCTTCCAGATCAACAGGTGTCTCGGATGGAGAAACTCGCAGGCTTGGTGGAGGAGCTGGAGGCAGATGAGTGGCGGTACAAACCAATTGAACAGCTTTTGGGATTCACACCATCTTAAATAAAGAGATCCAGATGCCTTTGCTTAATAAATCAGCCAAATAGAAGGAGATGGTTTATTTAAATTGAGCAATTATATTCCTTCTTTATGGTTTTATTCTATAAGTGTGAAATATTATGTGGAGTTACTGAATGTGAGATGTGTTATTTTATCATTTTTACTATTGTATGAGCCAGGTTTGCTTTTTTTTTAAAAAAACAAGTTGTTATAGTTTATCCAGCATATTAAAATAAACCCCCTGTCAAGTTATATAATGAAAATTAAACATTTTGTAACAGATTATTACAAGGTTTTTCAACTGGTTTAGGCGAATAAAGTTGTTTTTCCAGTCCAATCTGCTCTTAGCCTCAGTGATAAGGGAAAGAATATCTTTGGTAATGTAATAAGTCCCTTGAAGCGAGGCATTGTGTTCCTACGTGGCTGCACTGTAACTCATAAATCTGAAAACCTGCTGCCTGCTCAGTCTCTCCGTGGGTCCTCATCGCTGCTCGCTCCAACAACACTTGGAGCAAAACAAAGAGAGCTTGTAAATAAAGTCATACTTGGACATTCCTTGGGTCAGTTGCTGTTTGTTTGCTTGGCATGGCATAGCTCATGCTAAGCCGATTTCTATTACGCTGTAACTAAATCTTTGTGCTGTTGTTTATGTAATGGTGTCTCAAGTTACGTAGTTGTTGTCGAAAATGCACAGTTGTTCTTTTACTCAAATGAGCTGAAGTCTGAAACTCACAGATGGGACTGTGGCCGTGTCACTCGCCTGCTGTGTCGACAGCGAGGAAACGTGCACCTCTTGGTGTTTTGCTCAGAGAGTGAATGTTTTCAAACAAACGAGGGGAGGGAATGTACAGAATGTACTGTTCTGGGGTTGACTGTCTAAGGACGGCCCTGGACATTACAAGACACACCTCTAGCTGGAGTTTAAATGTCCTTTCAAGAGTTCATAAGTTTGTTTTACCACACACTTTCTAAGAAGTCATTTTCCAAGTTGTTTGCTTGTAGTTATAGTTAAAACTATTTTCTGTTTTTTACATGAGCTGTAGTCCACATTCTTCGTATTTGAAAAAAGAACAAACATTTTTTTTCCCCCACATCAAAACTTTCTGGTGATGACTCTTAATTCATAACATGCCTCTCAGAACATACTGTACCTTCACGTGTTTATGTCTTTCAGTTCCTCCTTGATATACGTATGTACAGTCCATCCCCCTCACGTGTAGCACACAGCTTATGTCTGGCTCCTTTCCAAAAACTTTTCTCTGGGCAAATATTGAGTGTGTCATGTATAGTGCAGTCTTGCCAGACAGAAACACAACAGCAGTTTCTGCTTCGCAATAATATTTTTGTGTTTTCTCAGAATGTGCTTGTGTTTCTGTCTGTCACTGTACCAAATTAAGTGTCATTTAATGGCAATCCCATGCAGTGTTTTTATGCCCTAATGCACATTAATAGCACCAGAATAAATGATTATAAGATATAATTAAATAGCAGTGTGTCAGCTACGCTCCTGGTGCATTCCTATTGTTCTGCACGTTTTCTTTGTTTTCCATTTGAGGGCAAATGAAGAAATGTTGCACATCTTTATGAATAGAAAATACATGTATTAGCATTTAACCATGTACCCACTGTTGTGTAATGCACCCAAATGTGTTGATGAGCTGATGTTTGTATCTCTGTGTGGCAGATCAAAAATTCTGATGTAATGGTTGAGCAAAACAGGTGACGTAATGTGCACTGCAACATTCAACCAGCTGAGGCAAGCCTGCATGGAGTTGCTGGACTTCTAAACTGTCAATAATCTAGATGCACATACGGCAGAGGCATTTATTTATTCATATAAAGGATATGAAACAAAGAAATACAATAAGACCTTTGCAAGCCCAGGCAAGTCCCTGTACATTTCCATAACACTGGGGTCTGCTATTCATCACCCCAACCCCCCTTCTCCTCCCCCTCCTGTTTGTCTTCCTTCTCTGCTGGCATGTTACCAGGCAAGATACAGCGCAGATGGCGTGCCTCTCTTTTTGATTGGCTTACAGGAGAGGAATGGGCGTGGCCTACCAGCCCCTATATAAACATTGTTGCAGCACAAACCGCAGAGCTTGGCAGCTTGCGAGAGAAAGAAGAAGCGTCGGGGATAGAAGTTGCTAGATAGTTGTTTGTGTAGACAATAAACCCTTCAAATAACTATCTTTAACACCGACAAAGGACCCGAACAGCACCGCATTCAAATAAGCTGTAAGTATTACGTTATAATTGTTAATTTTGCTAGCTTTGTAGCTATTTTTGAATGAGTTAAACAGCTGCTACCTACCTCAAACAAAGATGTTTTTCCTGCAAACTTGTCCTGTTTACACCCCTTAACGAACTACACTTTAAATGCCTGATACTTATATTTCATTTTCTATGTACTACCTCTTATGTCGAGTTTGAGTGCTTATCTGTTGTTCTTTGTTTCCTCATAAACAGCTGACCACAGAAAGCAGCTGATACTGTTGAATATTGCAAAGAGGACAACCATGCCTGCTCTCTCTGCACCCACTGATATCGGCAGCTCACCCCCTTCTCCAGTGGATAGCAGTCCCAGGAGGCTGTCCTGGGGCAAACTTGTCCAAAGATTGGCAGATTTCAGCACATCTGCCAACAGCAGCAGCATTGAGTCGGGGTCCAACAATGGCAGCAGGAGTGACCTCTCGGACTTAGGTACAAAAAAATGCTGCAAAACATTTCCAACACTTCAATAGAGGTGAATTGGATTTTCCTCCCTATGCATGGCTCCGGTTCTAACCCATTGTGTCTCTTTATAACAGGGTCAGATGTCTACAGCGACCTGTCTCCCTCTAACGAAGACCTGTTTTATGATCCAATGGAGGAGACCATCCTGAAAGAAGTAGTGGACCTTATTGCACGAAGCCTGAGAGAAGCCAAAGACTCAGACTGCGCCTTACGATGTACCAAACTGCTCATCCCAGAGAAACTCCTGGAGCACATCGGACAGGAGCTCCTTCACCTGGCAGCTAGTGAGCCCTGCGGTTTGAGGGGGGCTCTCATTGACCTCTGTGTGGAGCACGGGGCCACCTGCGAGAGCATGGGGCAGCTATCTGTGGACCCCTACCTTGTCCCCACCTTTCAGCTGACTCTGGTGTTGAGGCTAGAGTCTGGTGGGCTGTGGCCTAAAATCCAAGGACTTTTTAGCACAAAGTCTCCTTCCACTCCAGTGGTGCGGCAAGCTATTAAACTTAGCACTGGTTTCCGCGTGATCAAGAAGAAACTGTATTGTTCTGAAGAACTGCTCATTGAGGAATGTTGAGAAATGAAAGGGACTGTCGATGTTTTATTGTCAACGCTTTTAAAATGCCCAGTTCAGCTCACAGAAGGGCCTTATTACTATAACTACATGCATATGATGCCTTTTTGAAGTGTAAGGATGGACTTTTTCATGATTTAGCCTATTGTTCCTACTGTAAGGGAACTGGAGTTTATGGTACCTGGAGCAGGTGTTGCTCTTAACTGACTGTCAGATTTTCAAATTACAATGTGTAACCATCGTGATTATATCTGGTAAAGAGGCATTTTGCGAGTATTAAAGTGCGTACCTCAGTTTCTATTGAAACCAGACAACGGCAGCTAGCTATAGTCATTGAAGACCATTTGTGTTCTTTCTTTTTATACATGGCAATTAATTGTAATGTTCACCAAGTGATGAACTGTACACCAAGCAAAGCATTAGGGACCTTAGTGACTGCTTGATGTCAAGTGCGAAGGCCTACCACTGCTTGCCTTGCGCAATAAATGTGCAAGCTGCGGCTGAGATTTCAAATGTAACTTGATCTTGTATCTGTGTAGACCTGTCCTGCTTTCAACTTTATTTATTTGACATTCAAATACTCATACCATTGCACTGTTTTTGTACTTTCATGATTACAAATAAATTATTTTTTTTAACTGTTCTCTTTTCTGTCGTCTTATTTTGTGAACCTTGCCAGATCGAGAGCATCCATTTGCAGACTTAAATCAAGGTTTAGGATTACTTACATTTACTGTAGGTGGCAAATATTAAAGTGTTTGATTCTGCAAACTATACAACTACATATCATCAGCTATAAGCCCATTCTTTAACAAACTATACCAGAACATTAAGATACCTGTTATACTGAGGAATAACATTCAGCTATATTGTCATATAGATCAGCTGACTGCCACCTAATCAACCACATCCGGCCCCACAAGGGCATGTTTAAAAACTTAAGTTACTTTCGCAATAACAAAATCTGGCAAGTCAAAATTAGAAGGCCGGGGTGCAACATCTGCCAAAAACAGCTGAGTACATCTGCGGTGAAAGAATGTGGCGCTGTGGTTTCTGCCCAGCACATGCAGCACGTCCCTCAGAAATGTGAACGTGCACAAAGCCATGTTTCCAGTTGCCAGCCTCTTTCAGCCGGCTGACAGGCTTTACGTGTCGAATGTGCTGAGTGAGCTTTTGTCTCCACATTCTGTGCTCGTTCTGCTCGGAGAGATGAGTCATTTCGATTGTGTTTCGGCATCCAAATTTATTTTCATCTGGGAGTAAAAACAAGGTGGAAAAAGTGAGCAAGTACTGTATTGTTTTCTTAGTCTGATCATCCATTTTAAAACAAACAATAGAAAAAATAAATAGCATACTATGAACTCAAAAGTGTGACAAAAATTGCTTTTCCCAACAGATGTAAATCAAATACATTACGCTCCAAAACTAGAACCTGTTAAAGTCCCACTTGGGTGGGTAGGCACGTCTCTCATTCTCTTGGCTTTTATTGTGTAGTGCCATAAAGTTACACTGTATAATTCTTTAAAAGGAGGCAAAGTGTAAAGGGGCATTTCCTAATTGTTAACTCACAAACACACACACACACACACAGCAGAAGAAGACAAATCTCAGGTGTTCAAGTGTCTGACAAACCTTGGACATGAGTATATATTCATCCGAGGTTTCACATTATTCCTGCATAGTTTCAGAATGTGCATTTGAAGTCAAATCAGCAAATCTCCCCTCAAACGTGTCTCCTGTGCTGATTTGACTGCATAAAATAAAAAAGGAAGCATTCACTGTGGTATTTAGTCAACTGCTACGTAAATAACATCCGTACGACTACGACTAATCTCACTATGTTCTGGTTTCATATTGCATTCTCATAAAAAAAAAACCTCTCTCAGCTCAATGGCTCCCAGTCAAAACTGGAGCTTGGAGGTTTTCTAAACCCCTATCTTGTCAGGAGGACAAGCTATTTTAAGTGGCTTTTCCATTTCAAAACATTATATTAACATTATATTTTCTCATTTCACATACTAAAATTCCACAGAAAAGGTTTCAACCAGTTCATGTGGTCAGTTTGATGCAGACTGGTGCTGGTTTGTTTGTGTTGCTTGTTGAGTCATCTTCAGTCTCCAGATTGTTAAAGCCCATCTATTTACAGCCAATAATCTTTTGTGTTGATTCTGGAAACCTGGAGACAAGAAGAAGAAAATTGAGTTGTGAAATGAAATTAAACATGCAGGCAATCACTACAAAATGTGTTCAGAAATGAGAACAAAATATCTGGAGAACTTGCTTTTAATTATGAAAGCAGCCTCAACCATGTAATGAAGCTGTAATCTCAGACAGCTTGGCGCAGCTTGGTGTGCGAGCCCTCTGTGCTCTTTGGTACAGGTCAGTGTCTCCAAAATAGCGAGCTCTGTAAAGCATGCCTTCCTCTGCAGGAAACAAGAGAAACAATTCAGGAAAGATAAATGAGGAGTAATAAAAATCACAACATGGCTTTAATCATTTCCCCAGAACTGATAATGGAAAAAACAAACAGTCAATATTCATGGTTAAATAAATAAATAAGCATGATTTGTTTTCCTGGCAAACATACTTTGTTGTTTCTCCTTCCAGCAATTGTTGCGAAGGTTGGAAATATAATCATCCTCCACCATTCGCTCCAAATTCTTCAGATTCACTCCAGTGAACTCCTTGGAGAAGTGCTCCCCCACATAATATGGCACCTTCAGGTTCTCAGTCAGCCTCTTCTGTGTGTAACCTGCTGACCTGCGTGAAGATAGGACAAGAGTGTGGGAGAGATATCATAGGACCGAACGCAGCACAAGGATGACAGATCTGGCACTCTCTGTCTCTGATAATGCAACTTATGGCTGATAACAGGCTCACAGACAGGCCAGAAACTAAGGCAGACAAAATGGAGACGGGTCAAACACATGGAGACAGTAATCCTCGCAAACACAGAAGAGGTCTGTGATTATTTGGAATTAACTGAGGCAGCATAAAGATGTTCTGTCTAAATCTAACAACACACTGAAAAGTTAATATAATGGATTTGTCTCCAATGGAAGCAATATAACTGCAAAGATTATAAAAGCAAATCTATTTTTGGGCTGCTTAATCTATAAGTCAGTAACATTTCAAACACGGCCACGAGCTTGAGTTGACATTTTATGTAATGTGGAGATAATCTTCCGTCTAAGTCTGTTGGAATTCTGCAGAACAACAGGTAGTTTTGTTGTTTAACGTCCTTTATAGGCTGGCATTCGGAACAGGGATCACACTCACGGCCTGAAGCTGAGGCTGTAGGAGGGGCTGTTGACCATGATCTGACTGAGGGCTGACACAATAACCAGAATGAGGATGGGCATGACCTGCACGAAGAGAGCGAGGCCTCCCTGCAAAGAAAACATTTCAGTGCCAAAACAACAGCTGAATCATTCACCAGACACTATTTGCTTTGTTTAAAGACAGTTGAATATGACTGGAAGATGACTCAATGTCTCCCCCTTTTGTTTAACAACAATTTTACATTATTTTCAGCTTGCAGGAGCTCTAATAATAACTTACATCTCGCTGTCGCTCCCTTCTCTCTCGCCTTTGGTACCGCATCCGCCCATTAGTGTACACATTAGCATTGCCTAGATAGATGTAGCACATGTTAATAGACAAACCATAACGAGCATTAAAATGAACATACTGTTACTCACAAGTTTGGCATGAAAACACAAAGCAGTGACACTAACTTGACGGGTAACCTCCTCCAAAGAACATATTGAAGAGGTCTTCTGGTGAAATATCTGGCTCGAAGTTTTCATTGTCTGGGCCGTGTCTGGAAGGATGCCTCCTCTCTTCTCCACATTGATCATACTGTCTTCTTTTGTTAGCATTGCTCAGAACAGCATACGCATTCCCAATAGCTGTTGTAAATGGAAAAAAATGTTATGTTCGAGCATCACAAAGAAGGGCTAAAAGACACATTCTGTAACCATAATTAATTAATGATTAATGTACAAATACACTTAACTCACGATTTTATACAATTCATGATACTGAGTTCTCACCTTTTTTTTTAAAGACAAATTATAAAAAAAGATTTTCTCAAACAAAAATCTACAAACTATACTTTCTTTATTAATTTATAGAATATTTTTTTATTTCTGAGGTAGGGTATAAACTGTGCAAAACAATGCATATGTACTATTCCGAAATTATATCACGGTTAATCATCTCAC